GAGGTCGCTGACGGCGAGGCGACGGGGGCGGGGCGGGCTAGAGCCCCTCCGTAACAACCCGGCCGCCTCCACCAATCGGCGGCGCCGGCGCGTGCCGTCGGTGGCTCCTGATTGGCCGCCCTGTCACTCCTGGGCAATAAAGCCGGGGCGGCAGGGCTGGGCCTTTGTTTCGCGCCGCGGGGCGGAGGGCAGCCAGCCGGAGGGTGAGTGCGCGCGGCGCGTCTCCATGGTAACGCGGCGGTGCGGGACGGGGCCTGGGCCTGCTCCTGCTCCGGAGGTAACGGGCCTCCGTCTCCCACCGCCCGGGCCGGTACCGGGCTGAGGCCCTCCGGACTTGCCCCCTGTAGGACTTTCCCCCCCCCCCGCGGGGCTCTGCTCCGCCGGCGGAGGGAGGGAGGGCGGGCAGGCTCCCCCGGAGCTGCCGCGGGAGGCAGCGTCCCCGGCCTCCCTGCTGCCGGGGGCAGGTGGGCCCGGTACCCTGCGGCGGGGGGAAACGCTCGGTCGTGAAATCCGTGTCATGGCCGTGTCCTCCGGGGCGGCCGGGCCTGGGAGCAGCGCCCGGCCCCGGGACTCTGCCCCCGGCCCTGCTCTGCCTCTTGCCCTCCCGGCCGCAGGGAGGGCTGTCGCGGCCCTGCCGGCCGCCTGGTCCCGGGCTGCTGGCCGGGCCACCGGCGCGGCGCAGGCCGCGGAAGGACGAGGCTCGGCTCCGGCACGGGCCCCCCGAGCCGCCCGGGGTGTGCAGCGCCCGGCTGCCAGCCCTGTGATCGTGACTAGCCGAGCTCTGGCTGCGTGCCAGGCCAGCGATTGTCAGGCCTCCCTAATCTCTTCCTTCTGTTCCCACGGGCGAGCGCCTGCACAGCAGCTGAGGAAGCGTGCTAGGACAGTTGCCTTGGGGTTCCACAGTGATTCCTATGCGCAGCTTCTGGGGAAGGATGTCCCGGTCCTTTGGGACAGGAGTCCTGTACCCAGTTCTCCGGGTGGCGTGGGGGGCACTTGGCTCTTCTCACCCCATTGGAGCTCAGTGATGAGCTTGGAGGACAAAAGCCTCTGAGGCTGCTTGCTGTCCCTACTTTTCCATTTTCGGCTGAAACAGACATCTTGGTCAAGCCTTGTGGTGCCTAGCACTTGTACACAGTGCTGCATTACATATATCAGCTGTAAGTGCCTGTCACGGGCCCTGCCTGGGGTGTCCCTGGCACAGCTGGCTGTGAGCTGGGACAGGCAGGGCAAGCACTGGCTTTCCCCAGAGCAAAGGCTGTTTGATATTTTCATGCGTGACTGTCACACTGCGCTCTTCCTCCCCCCCAGGTCTAACCCTGACTGACTGACTTGTCTGCCCCTCGCGCTGTTCTCCTAACCAGTGTGAGAAAATAGATTTCCTGATGCGCTGCCTGACGTGGGCTGCTTACCAAAGTGCAGAACTGGACGAGACCTGTGAACTCACTAGGAGTTTCCCTCCTCAACCAGTTTGTGGAGGTGCTGGACTGCAGCTCTGGGGGACAGAAGTAGCATTTGCATGGGCACTGCTAGAAGTGTTTTAGACTTGAATTATTGCCTGAATTTTGGCTGTGTCCAGGTGAAGTCTTAAACCTACCTGACAGCAGGTAAGGTAGTATCTTATTCTGTGAGGCTCCGTTTCCAGCAGCAGCCGGTGCCAAATACCTCCCCAGAGGGAGGAGGAGATGTGAAGCTCTCCTGATGTGATTGCCAGGTTACCCTGTGATGATTCTTCAGGCCACTAGGCCTGGGATTCTGGGGTTTGTCTCTGCTGCAGTGATGCTTGGGTAGGTCCAGCCACACTCTGCCACTTGCTAAAGCAAGGATGTAAGCTCTGTGTGTGGGGAAATACCTTGAAGTTGCATGCTAGTTGAACAGCAAACATGAACTCTGTACTGCTTGGGTGTTTGTAAATAATTGAACTTCGTCTGAGGGTGCCCAAGTAAAGCCAGGACTTCCAGTTCTGCTTTCCTGCAGCAGCAGTGTCTACTTCCTTCAAAAGGCATGGTATTATTGGGATTAAGTGTCTTCCGACCCTGAGAAGAGCGGCTGTACATCTTGAGTGTGAAGCTTGCTGTGGAAATGTGTGTAGGGGCAAACTGATTGCTGGCTAGATGAGATAGGCATGTTTTCTTGGAGTGTTTGAACACCATTATTGGGAAATAAATGTTTGGAGTGCTGAGGTGTTCTGTACCAAACCTTCTCTCCACTCTCCAGCCCTGCTATCCAGACTCTTGTAGCTGTTGGATTTCTCCCAAGCAGTCTGCTGTCAGGCCACCGGGAAGGTATGTGTTTACCCTGAACATCAGCCAGGGTCTTCATGAGCAGAGCTCCTCGTAGCAAATGAAATGATGTTCTAGCCTCTGCAGTGGAGGTAGGCAGCTGTCTGAACCTCCCTCTCAGTGTGTACAACACTGCCTCTCTCAGAGGAGCAGAACGCCCTGAGAAACCAGGCCTTTGACCAGTGACCATGCTGTGGGCTTTCAGTTGCCAGTTTTTGAATAAAAGCAATGATGTGTGCTAAGAAATACAATAATTTTGACTTCCCTTCCTCCCAGTTCTCATGCAATATCCTAATAGTGAAAAGGACAGACATTTGATTTGTGCTGATTTGTCTCTTGAATTCATGGCTCATCAGGGAGGTACCTATACTAGAGAAGGTATTGGGAAAAAATCTAAGCTTTCATATTTTCCCATATGTGTACTGTCCTCACCTTGGGCTAAAGGGACTCATGTTGCCACTGCCTGGTGTATTGCTATAGAGATGAATGTGTCAGACTGAGCCTCTAGAAAAAAAAGCTGTGGGAGATAAAAGTCTGAGAGTGCACCAAATTCCTTAAATGACTTTTTGCGTTCTAACCCTTTCTTCCAGCAGCAGCCAGTGCTACTGGAACAACAATTCATTGTTCTGATCAGTTGTGCTTCTACAACAGGCTTGGGTAAAGGCTTCTGAGACCCCATCAGATGTCCCCTGTGTAGCATGGAGAGCAGAGTTCCAGTGTTGGTGAGTGCTGCTAAACACGAGTGTGCTGTGAGGCATGGGTCTGGAGGCTCTAACCAGTAAGTTAGCAGATGTGCCTTGTACAATGATGATCTCAGGAGCCATGCCATGCATGTCTGGCCATTGGGAGCCTTGAACCATTGCTGCGGTTAACTACTAGTTTCTGAGGCTTGATCTGGTGTGTTCCTTTGGGCTGGATTTAATGTCGGCCTTCAGGCCTTTTCCAAGGGATGAGCGGTGCTGAGGTGCTCTTTGAAGCTCTGCTCTCACCTGGTGCTTTGTACCAGTGGCTGTTGCAGGCCTGGCAGTGTGCAGCGGCAGCACACCCTATCTCTAGGACTCTAGCTTTCTGGAAGTATAAGATAAATTGGAACCAGTTCATCTAGTTTAATTTTGGAATCTGCATTTCTTGAAGTGCCTGGCCTGAAATAAGCTGAGCAGCAAGGCAGGGTGTCATGAGAACTTGTGCATCTGTATTGGCAGGAGGCTGGCTAGCTGTGCTGTGAGGCAAGCAGGCTGTTTCCCCCTGTGCCCATGACAGGCTCCCAGCTGAGCCTGGACAGGTAATTTGTCTATTTGCTTTAGTTTCCCTTCCTCATGGCAGGCATTTTCCAATGTTTGAAGCTGAAACTGTGTGGTGAGTGAAGGTAGGTCCTGTTTGCTGACCTGGTGTGTACGTGCTTGCTGTCTAGTGAGTGATCAAACAGACAATACAACACCTGAACATGGTTTCCTCAGATATCTCTGAGCCCTTGTGCTCGTGTGCTTTTCTGCCCCAGCTGCATTATCCTGCCCTAAACTTCTCTGTCCTCAGGGTGGGGAGGCTGCGCCATACCCTGTCCTGCGGGGCAGGGCAATGGGGATGTAGGGCTGCCACCCCTCATGACTTCTGCTACTGCATGTGGCTAGCTGGCATCACAAAGTAATGTGTTTTAGTCAGTCCTCCCCTCGGGAAAGGCTCTGTCCCAGTGAGCCCAAAGGCTGTGTGATCACGGGGGTGAAAGCTTCGCCCTGGTGATGTGTCCTCCAAACTGAGTGCTGTGCCAGAGGGCCTTGCTGTGCTGCACCCCAGGATGGGTGCTCAGACCTGGCTCCTGGACGAGTCCTGTGCCAGAGAGTGGCTGTAAAACAGGGCTTAGAAACTCAGGGGTGAGGAACCGGAGGGCAATTGATTTACAACTGGTGTGCTTCATGTGAGCTGGGAGCCAGCAACTGATGTGCTGGTGCTGGCCCTGTGCTAATGAGCTTGGCAAGCTCACAGCTGCTTGTCTGCTGTTCTCCCAGCCCCCAGGCATGGGCTGAGCAGCAAGCCTGTGGATGCAGCCCACCAAGGGGATGGAACTAAAGTGGGAAAGCTCTCTTGTAGTGAGTTGTCCTGGTTTCGGTTGGGATAGAGTTAATTTTCTTTCTAGTAGCTGATATAGTGTTATGTTTTGGATTTAGGATGAGAAGAATGTTGATAACACCAATGTTTTCAGCTGTTGCTAAGTAGTGTTTATACTAAGTCAAGGATTTTTCAGCTCCTCATGCCCAGCCAGCAAGAAGGCTGGAGGGGAACAAGGGGTTGGGGGGGGCACAGCTAGGACAGCTGACCCAAACTGGCCAAAGGCATATTCCATATCATGTGATGTCATGACCAGTATATAAGCTGGGGGGAGTTGGCCTGGAGGGGCATCACTGATCAGGAACTAACTGGGCATCAGTCAGAGAGTGGTGAGCGATTGCATTGTGCATCACTTGTTTTGTATATTCCAGTTCTTTTATTATTATTATTGTTATCTTATTATCATCATCATCATAATTATTTTCTTCCTTTCTGTCCTATTAAACTGTCTTTATCTCAACCCACAAGTTTTACTTTTTTTCCAATTCTCTCCCCCATCCAACTGGGAGCAGGGAGGAGTGACCAAGCGGCTGCATAGTGCTTAGTTGCCGGCTGGGGTTAAACCATGACATGAGTGCTTTCTGAAGAGCCAGCAAGCAGCTTAGTTCCTTGCTCATCTGGCAAGGCTGCCTGCAAGGTGGTGGTGCTCTGTGCAAAGCTGATTACAGGTCCATTTTATAAATGAGGTGGTTGGATTTCTGGCTTGACAGGGGTACTCGGCTAAAATAAGCCAGGTGTCTTGCTCCTGCTTCTGGGTAAGTCTTGTGTATCCAGCTACATCTGAGGAGATTTTTTTTCCTTTTGCAAAAGAGGAGGAAGAACACAGTTACTTCCAGGGTTTGAAGTAAACCCTGCTAGGCAGGAGAGGAGCGTGTGAGTGGTAGCAGGAGCTATCTGCAGCTCACTCTGTTCAGAGAGCAGCCGCTTTGACTCTTCATGCAGCACAGCCCAGGAAAGGCAGAGCAGTGCAATTTGCCCCTGCTTTGGAAGTTCCTCTTCATATACTCAGTCGCAGGGAAGGCTTTTGTTTCCCCTGTGAGCTGCCCGACTTCAGAGCTCAGCTGCCGTAATGTGCTGCTGCTTTCTTGCAGGAGAAGCTCTGTGGAAACGAAGTAGCTTGTTCTTCCTCCTGACTGAAGGACAGGTGCTTCCCTTTCCAGTTACTCTGCTCAGAGTCTAACATTGGATGAGATATTTGGTAGCACCAGTGGAAGGCAGCTTGCTCACAATTTCAATGCAGATTGCTGACATGGAGGTCTCTGATCGTCTTCAGCCAGGAGCCATCCTGAAGTCGGGAACCTAATGCAGGCTGCTTGCTGCATTGTAGGTCTTCCCTGAGGTTAATATTTTGTGAACTGGGTGCTAGTGTTGAGGTTCATCTGAGGTAGCTGAACTGAACAAGCAAGACTGCTTCCTTGAAAGTGCCTGGTGTGCAGTGGAAATGTCCTGTGGCTGCTCCTCACCGCCCTGCGTGGTGGAGCAGCTCAGAGGCTCCTTGCTAGACTGCTCAGCATTTCATACCCATCCCTCTAAAACCCCTCTCTAATTTTGCCTTTCAGATTGCCTAATCTCCAGCACTGACCAGTGATGCCATCAGCTATGGAGGGCTCAGAGGGGGGAGAAGAAGGGGAAATCTTGCACTATGAGGAAACAGAAGATGACAATGTCAGGTGAGTGCTGCCTCACAACACGGCATAGACACAGTCTTGGGCAAGGCAGGACACCTTCCAGGTAAAGGAGTGATCTTTCTCCTCATCTGAAAAGGAGCAAGGGACTCCAAAAGGTGAACAATTAAATATATGTGCAGTAAAATGTGTTTAATCAAACTGTACTGGAAGGGTGGAAGGGATGGGAAGGAGCTGTCTGGCTAAGGCTGACAACAAGCAGTTATTTTTTTAGCCTCTACTATCAAAGTAGCATTCAGAAACACTTTGACTGTTTGGCAGTTACATTTGTACCTTCCTGGCCAAGATGAGCCAGTTTTCCATGGCTTCTGGGCAGTCTCATATGACAGCAGCTTGTTTTGAAAGATGACTCTAGAGGTGAACTGTGCTCCAGTGAGCTGCCCCTCTTGCCTTTGCAGAATACGCGCTGGTCTAGGCAAGGATCTTTGGTTCTTTTCTTGGAGGTTAGTTTAAAAGCCAAGGCTTGAGATTTGGAAAATGGGAAGGGTGAATACGGTGCTTCCCAGAACACCTAGATAGGCTGGTTGACTTCTCTTTGACTTAACTTCTTATGAAACTGAGCCTGTCAATGCTACCTGGCTCTCCCAGCATGTCCAGGCCTTGTCTAGCCTGTCGGCTGCAGTGTTCAGCCACTTGGTAGGTCTGGAGTGTTCAAAGTCTGTTTCTTTTACAGCTAACATGAACATGCTATCTGTAGCAAGCCAGTGCACTTTGGCATAATTTTGAGTGAGTGTAGATGTTGATAACACTGTACCAAACTCCAGGTAGGTGCAGTGGCTATAACCTAAAATCACAGTGGTTTGTGTTTTTTGGGGGGGGGTTTATTTGGTTTTGTTTTTTTTTTTTTTGGAAAGACAACTTGTAGAAACCTGCAAAAACAGTGTGATTCAGGATACATAAACTTTTTAAGGGTGTTTTTGCCCTGTTTTGCCATTGGCTCTCATCTCCTCTCCTGCAGTTGATACCCAAGTCGGAAAAGCTAGGGTCCTGCCTGTGAATGCATCTGCTCTTACCTGAGCCTTTCTCCTTCTCCAGAGTAACCACGGAGGACACCACCAAGGCTCCTGTGCCCTTTAGCCTGCTCTTCATGTACTCAGGGCCTCCTTTTGTAGTATTGTTGGGGCTCACATGGATGAGAAGCAAAAGTAATGGTGCAGGGATCAGAGGATCCTTGGCAATTGCTTTAGCCTCCTGGGTCTGAGACCCTGGTAAGCCCCGACCCTCCCAGAATGGCAAGTCTGGTTGGCACATGGGCATCCGCATCTGCGGAAGGAGCCTCTGGCTGCTGCCATCCTGCTGCTTCCTCCTGGTAGTGCCAGCTCCAGCCTGTGGGGCTGGCCTGAGGGGTCCCACCTTGTACCTTCTCCAAACTCAGCCTGAGATGGTAGGGAGTGGGGGGATCCCTCCAAACACAGCAGGGACAAACTCATTACTGCGTATGGAAGTGGAGTGAAAGGAGCTCTCCCTGTTTGTCTGCAGTCCCACTGACCTTTCAGAGCTGCTGAAGGAGGGGACTAAGGAATCCCACGACCGTGCAGAGAACACGCAGTTTGTCAAAGACTTTCTGAAAGGACGGATCAAGAAGGAGCTCTTCAAGGTGAGTGCTGCTCTGCTCCTATGGCAAAGAAGCTCTCTGACATACCCAGTGACTAATGCAGACTGAGGCAGAGCCCCACAGCCCTATGTGTAGGGGGTGGGGAGGAGTCCAGTTTCTAAGTGGTATAGTTATAACTAGAGGAGGGCCCTTGTCCAGGACTTCTGCCTGGTGTGTCCTACAGCTGGGACCCAGCGGGGTGAGGAACATGCTGCCCCAGCACAAGTTTGATTAGGTGGTAGTGCTGGGCTTCTGGCCACGCGTCTGCTGTCTGCTCAAGGCAGGTGTGGCTGCAGCACAGATACTGGTGGCCTAAGCTGTTCAGGAGTGAAATCCTGGTGAGATTACAGCACTTACTCCAGCCTCTGATGAAGTCTAGGATGTTTTCCATAGACTTCAGGTTGGATTGCTTTCTCTTCTGTACAGAAGAGATGGTATTCTGGGTCTGAGCAGCACTGTCTGATCCTGAAGGTCTTCGTATATACAGTAGTCTCCTGCAGCATAAGGCTGTTGGTGCTAGTTGTACCTTTTGGATTAAGTTTGTCCCTGTGCCTTGCTGTCAAGGTGATAGGAGGCCAAGAGCACACAGTTGGCAACATTAGACTGATTCTTAGCTCATGCTCTGTAGGCATTGCTGTTATGAATGTAGATAGAAAAGAGCCTCTGGTCCTTCAAGGGACACATGCCTGGTATGGGCTTTCCAGGCTGGTTTTGCGTCAAGCCTGGGTGTTTCTTCCTTGTTTGCCCCAACTCCATGCAGGGTGGGAGTAGTCACAAGGTGGGATGTGCCGATCTAGTGAATGGCTTCTCACATTAGCTGTGCTTTGTCCGTAGCTGGCCACGGTGGCACTTTACTTCACATACTCTGCTCTGGAAGAGGAAATAGATCGCAACAAGGACAACCCAGTCTTTGCTCCTCTGTATTTCCCCCTAGAGCTTCACCGGAGAGAAGCGTTGGTCAAAGACCTGAAATACTTCTATGGAGAAGACTGGAAAGAGAAGATCCAGTGTTCAGAGGCAACTCGGCACTATGTCGACAGAATCCATCATGTGGGACAGCACGAGCCAGAGCTGCTAGTGGCTCATGCTTACACACGCTACATGGGAGACCTCTCGGGTGGCCAAGTGCTGAAGAAGGTAGCCCAGAGGGCCCTGAAGTTGCCCAGTACTGAAGAAGGGATCCAATTCTACGTGTTTGACAATGTTTCCAATGCGCAGCAGTTCAAGCAGCTCTACAGAGCGAGGATGAATGCTCTAGACTTGGACAGGAACACCAGGGAAAGGATTGTGGAAGAGGCCAACCAAGCCTTCAGACTCAACATGCAGGTACTAGCTCCCTTGAGCCCCTGTATGTGTAGGTGCTGCTGCTTTCAGGTCTGGACCAACTCTTAGGCCCGGGTTAATTCAGTCAAACTGCTCATCCAGGCAACGTGGTTTGGGTCTGAGACCACCTGAGCCCCTCCATCTGGTGCAGGTGGGATTCTGGTTTGAATGGCTCTTCCGCTAACTTCAGGAGACATGGCCGGTGTTGGGCAGGAATTCCTCCCGTGTTCCAACACCACAGCTGAGCCTTAGATTAGGGCAAAATTGAGATGACTTCACTACAAGATTCCTGTGGGCTGTGTGGCTCTGAAGCAGTTGGGGGAGCAGAGCTATTGCTCCAAGATGGCCTCAAACCTGAGCATATTGCAGTGCACTGGTTACAATTCATCCCGTCTCATGTCTGACATTGCCCAATGGCCAAATATGTCTGTAGCCTCTTGTTCCTTCCCACAATATTTGCCTTTCATAAAATCTGACTGAGCTGCCACTTGCCCTAGGGGGATGAACGTAGTCTTAGCTACTGGATGGAAGCTTTAATCTGTGCCTGTAGCAGGTCACTGTGGTTTAAGCTGGCCAGAAACGTGGTGGGATGTGATTGTCTCCTTTGTCAGGATCCTTGGGGAAACACCTGGCAGCAGAGGTGGAGGGGCTGCCTGGCCACTGCACTGATCCCCAGGGAGGGTCTGCAGCAGGGAGTGGAGAGTGTGTTACCTCCTACTCCCACCCACAGGAGGCTGGGAGGTGAACAGCAGGGTGATCCTGCGTCTGTCTCACTCCTGGGTCTGACTTGATGCTCTTGGAATGGGCTGTGCCTCCTTGGAGCTGTGGCATGTGCCAGATGTCACCACAGGTCTGCCTGCAAGGTGCTCTGAAATGAGTAGCACATGCTGGCTTTGTGGGGAGGGAGGCAGAAGTGGCTTTTGCCTGTTCTCCAGATCATTCCACAGGTCCGGATGAAAGCTGCCTGGCTCTGCCCACTTCATCTACTCACTGTGACCACTTGCAGGTATTTGATGAACTGGACAAGATTGGCAGGTCACTGACAGAAGAAGCCCAGGACGGTGGCCTTCCAGTCCACGATGGAAAAGGAGACCTACGCAAATGCCCTTACTACACAGACAAACTAGGTAGGTCGGGGGCAACAACAGAGCTGCCACACACATATGGCACAAGACTTGCAGCACTAATGGTGCTTTCTGTGTTCTGGCAGGCAAGGCAGGACCCGGCTGCCCCTATCACGCTGCCATGGCCCTGGCAAAGCAGCCCCTAGTACAGCTGATCCTGGCAGCCTGTGTGGCTGTGGCAGCAGGAGCTGCAGCCTGGTACATCATGTGATGGGAAGAGCGGCGTGTGGCTCTAAATGGTGGCAAGGGGAGAGGCATGCGCCCTGTTCTTCTTCAAACTGTTCCCTTGCTGTTGGTGGTGAGTTGGCTGCAGGGTGGAAGTAAGAAAATAAACAGGAATCCTGCGGGACTGTCAAAGACTTTCCACACCAATAATGCAAGCATTGTAATATAATGTCTTTAGCTGACTAGTGTACAGGACTGATCTGGTGTGAGGATTCTACTTCAGCACTGCCCTACCCAGGCTGGGGCGGGCAGCTTTTAAGGCTAGAGATGTCTTGTCTTATACTGGCAAAAGCTTCATGTGCTTGGCTTTTCATCTGCTTCCCAGGAGCAGTCACTGGAGGGAGTTTCCTGCCCTGGGCTGGAACCTTGAGAATGTGTCATCGGTCTTTTCAGTGGAGAGCACTTGCTTTCCTACCCTGAGAAACTGATGTTTCAGTCGTGCTGCAGTAGCTGTGCTGTGGAGCTGCTAGCTCAGAGGAGTGTTGCAGTGTCCTGGGGACCAAGTCTAACTGGTGTTGGAGGAAGCTCCCTGGGGGTGGGGACAGGACTGGAGGGGGGGCGGGGGGGGGGTATGAAGGTGACAAATGTGTATTGTGCAACACTGGGGTTGGGGGGGATTGGGTTTTTTTCTGAAGCCTTGATGGGAATAAAAAGTTGCAATGCTGTTAGCTGGGGAAAGCCAAAAGCACATCACTGGGAGAATAAGTGAACTGTGTGTGGGGGATGCGGAAGGCTGGGGAGGGGGCTAATAGGGAGAAGCGGAGGGGGTACAGGCTCCCACGCTACTGTACTTGTCTCTGATTCATGCACTTGCTAAGACACTCCTGCCCTTACACCCCACTCTGTCCCTGCTGGCTCCCCTTATGTTTCCCCCAGCTCCTTGTGGGGAGGGGACCTACTGCCCCTGCTCAAAGGGCACAGCCAGATGCTGTGACAGCCCGGGGCTTTCCTTTGGTGAGCGGGCTCTGGCTCTGCTGGGGGCAGTGGTTCCCTAGAGGCAGGCGAGAAGCTCTGGGTCCCACAGCTGCCCCTTGCTCCCTGCTTCCTGGCACTGTGCTGGGCCTCAGAAAGGCCCTGGGCTTGGTAACAGAGACATCCCTCTGCCTTCCTCCAGCCCAGTCTTGGTGGCTTTTCTCCTCTTCAGCTGAGTGCTTGGGCACAAGGAGAGGGGCTGTCTGAGTGCTAGAGCAGGGAAAGCTCCTCTTAACCCCAGGGTGCCTCTGCTGCTATGGGCTGGGGTAGGGAAGCTGTTGATCTTCCAGTGCTTGGCAGTGCTGTGCCCTGCCCTCCCATGCCATCCCTCCTCATCCTTGGCTCCCCTGTGGGTAGATCTGCTGTGGGTTTGGAGCGGGGGAGGAGAAAAGATGTACACAGAGTTCAGGGTCTGTTATTTATTTACATAAAAACACTGATTAGTGCCACAGTTCCACCTCTGAGCAAACAGCAGCTGCCTGTGCAGGCCAGGCTGTTCGCAGACCTGTGTACTGAGAGACCCCCTGCTTCGCTCTGGGGGCTGCATGCTCCAGCTGCCCTGGCTGCAGGGGCTGGGGCCAGTGGGAGTAGGAAGAGCAGCCACAGAGGGGCTGAAAACGGCTCCCAGGTCCTCTTGCCCTCATCTGTCTGAGTGCTGCTGGCAGCTCCTGTCGCTGCCTGCCTGCCCCATTCCTTCTGCCCCATATCAAGTGAGCTAAAAATAAACCCCTACACCCACATGCAACAAAGAAGCCGACAGGGTGCAGCTGCGGTGGTGGTAGGAGAGGTGCTGCAGGGTGCGTGCCCACAGACCCTGCCGGGCTCAGGATGTGGCTCTGCAGTGAGTGGGCATGGGTCTGCTCCAGAGCTGTGGCCTGGTAACAAACTCTTCTAATCTAATCTACAGTGCCAGGGCAGATAGCGACATGCTGGATGCATTTTTCGCTAACGGTTTGCCAGGTGGGCAAGGAACTGCCAGGGGTTTTTCTTCCCCAAGAGCCACAGCAGGGGCTGGGGGGAGTCGCATGCAGCTGGAGCAGCCAAGGCCACCAGGCACTGGCAGCTGCTCTGGCAGGACGGAGGTGCTGATCAAGGGTGCAGTGCTGCTGCCGGTCCCCCTCCCCTCCCGCCACACCTCGAAGGCAGCTCTGCCTGCCTCTCCTCGGGAAGGGGCTTTGCCTATGGGCTGCACACTGACATGGCTGGAAAGGGCCATGAACCACGCTGAAGCCTGGCACGTGTGGCACTACCCTGTCTCCTTGCCACCAGGTCCTTCCTAAAAGTGCCACAACAGCTGTGCTGCCTGCCCTGTGTGCACTGTGGGCTGCTCAGGTCCCCCCCTTCCCTTCCTGGGCAGCAGGTTCCCCCGTGCCTGCAGCAGCTCCCCGTCGCAGCAGCACATCCCTGCAGCCAGGTGCCCCCCTGTGCCGCAGGGGACTGAGGGGTGGGTGTCTCCAGCACCTGCTGCCCTTCCCCAGGTTGCTCCAGGCATGAGGGGCCTCGCTAGCATCCTGGAGTGTAAGGGGGTGCAGAGCAATAAACCCCCTTCCCCTCCACTCCTGTGTGCTGCAGGGCGGTCCCCCCACCCCCGCCACAGCATCTGGGCCCTGGGCCAACCTCCCCTGTGCACCCATGCCAGCATCACCAGTCCAACCATTCACAGCGAGGACTGGAGCTTGGGGAAGGTGGTCGCAGCTCTGAGCGGGAGGGAGCCGGGGATACACACATACACACCACCGGAGGGTTAAGCAAAGGAGTGTTGCACACGCATAGACGAGGATGGCAACGGGAGAGGGGCCGGTATCATTCCAGCAGCTCAGGCTCCCGGGGCGCTGTTAGCACATGCGCTTGTACGTGTAGATATAGGCCTTGCAGTTGGGACACGTGTGTGTCACATCCTTGAAGTCATCAAACAGGCAGGGGATCAGGCAGCAGCAGAGATCACACCTGGAGCACAGGAAGATGCAGTGTGGTGAGCTTGGGGACCCCCGAGGCAGCCTGTGGGCATGGGGGGGGGCGGGAGGGGGGGAATGTGTGGGGTTCACTCTGGGGTATGGGCAAGAAAGGTGAGTACTTGCCCCTGGGAGCCAACCCTGACCCCCCTGCTGCTGCTGCGAAGAGCAGCACAAAGCCCCCGCCCCTTGGGATGTGCTGCTGCCACTGCTAGAAGGGCAAGAGCTGCGTTAGTGAGCAGTCACACACCTCGCAGAGGGAAGGGCGAGCCTGGTGAGACACACACAGGCACTGAGGCCTGACCTACCTCCACCACTGGGGCAGGGGTCTGGGACAAGCGCCCCATCGCCTCCCACACCCACCGTTGCTGTCAGCCCTTGTGAGGAGAGACCGTGGCTCTCTGCAGCGCCGTAGGTTCTGGCCAGGAGATGGACAGCTCCTGCTCCGACGCCAGGTTCTAGACCAGGCCTTTGGAGGTGCCGCCTTCCCCTCCCCTGGCAGAAGCCTGGGTCTCCAGGCACTGTCAGCCCAGGAACCCAGGTGCTGCCCCAATAACACCTCACTGCTGAGGCGCCCGCCAGCTCTGCCTGCAGCACCTACCCCACGAAGCAGCAGAAGAAGCCAAGAAGGAAGCTCATGAGCCCAATCTCATAGGTGATCTTGGTGGTGATGGCTTGCTGGCAGTGGGGACACACCGTCTGCACGGGGGCAGCCTGGAAGATCTCTCCCTGCAGCACTGTCACCGTGGTGGCAGCCCCTGATGGCACGAGCACTGTCGCCGTGTGGCCACTGGGAGAGGGATAGTGTCCCGGGGCAGGGTAGTAGCCCATGGTGGGCTGAGGGCCTGGAGGGGGGTAGTAACCTGCTGGGAATGGGAAACATGCACAGGTGAACGTCTTCTATGTGGCAGGAGAGGCCAGATCCTCACTGCGGGTGGGGTCCCGCCTTGCTGCCACACCACCACCTTGGGTATGGACTTGGGGCCAACCCTTCTACAGGCACTGTGCCCCCTTACCCCCCCAAGCAGCCTTGCTGCAAGACCCAAATGGCAGCCCCAACCCCCCCCATTGTGTCCCCCCACCCCACTCCCCCAGGCAGCAGGAGAGCATGTGGTTCCAGGGGGGGTCCTTGCCCATCACCACCCCTTGCTTCACCCAGCCCCACAGTACTCACCAGGTGGCACGTAGGGCCCAGAGCTGTCCATAGGCATGTGGGGGGGCACGAACCCTGGCTGCGAGGGTGGCTTATATGGGGGAGGGGGAAATTCAGGAGGGGGGATGGGAACCCCCTGGGGCTGTCCCACCACTGGGGCGACGCCATCTGAAAGGAAACATGGAATCAGCAGCCAAGGCAGGAGGCAGCAGAGCTGGTGGGGAGACGGTGGCTTGGCTGAGTGGTCTGGGAGTTGGCCCCAGCAGGGAAGGGCGACACAACCGGGGCGGGGGTGGGGGCACACCCCCAAGACTCATCCTCCAGGCCACAAGAAGCCCAAATTCAGCCCACGTTACCACAGCAGCGAGCAGAGCCAGGCTTTGAGTGGGGAATGCTTTCTGCTCTTGTCACTGCCCCAGGACCTCCCGACTCCCTGGAGGGTGATACGGTGACAGATGGAGCCCGGCATCACACCACCTTCCCCAGCACGCTGCACACCATGGGGCAGAGCTGTGAGGAGAGGCCATGGCCAGGGCGCTCCCAGGGAAACCACACTTGCTTGGCTCCTGCCTGCTCAGCAATGTCACCCCAACACCCCGAGCAGCTGGGACCACCCCCCAGTACCTGTTGCAGGGGGTGGACCGTGCTTCTCTTCTATCAGTGGTGCCGAGGGGCCTCCCGGGTAGGGTGGCGGAGGGTCGTTGGACATGGCTCAGAGTGGCCCTGCAAGGACAGAAGCCTTTAGATGAGATAGTAGCCTTTGGCTGCACACAGGCACTCGCCCGGAGCTTCACAGTGCTTGGAGAAGGAGGTGGCAGGTAACGGAGGGGTCCGGGGCTGCTGCCACCACTGCACTGGCCTCAGCTCCCCCCACCATGGGCAGAAACAAGGCCGCAGCCCCAAAGCTGGACAGGCTTCAACCCAGGCAGTGAATCCAAGGTGTAACATCTTCCTGCTGGCTCCGCAGGGCTTCCCCTGTAATGCCCACGCGTGGTGAACAGCAGCTCATCAGTGCCACTCTCAGCTGCGTGGCCCGCATGCCGGGGCAGTACTGGGCTAGAAGCTGCTCTGCCAAGCGCCTCAGCTGCAGCGTTACGGTACCAAAGATGGGGAAGAGCTGCCCCCCTTGCCCACAGCCACCCAACTCCACCCAGCAGAGTAACAGGCAATGCTGCGCCCCGAGGAGGTGGCAGGACCCCCTGAGCCTGAAGCACAAACTCTGAAGTGGAGGGTGCAAACCCACAGAGAGCATCTCTAAATACTCTCATCAAGTGAGTGAGTTAAGGTAAGACCATCTTTAACAGCTGGAGACACTATTTTACATGGAGTAAAATTTACCTGTCCTCTTCCTTGCAGTAAGGAGCTCAGAGGCCTTGACAGAGCTGAGAAAAACAATTCTTCTGAGCAGCGTAGTTTCGAAGCCAGCTTACCCCACTGAATCTGCATGAAAGGAGACAGCAAGCAAGTTACAGATATGGAGAGGAGACACTGCTACAGCGCTGCCTTGCCAAACTCCCTCCTCTCCCTGATGCAGACATGGGGAGAGCGGCTCTGGGTAGGAATCTCCACACATGTGCCCCCTCGATGGCAGGCACGAGGCTATGTGTCTTTGACACATGGAAAAGCCCCACCAACACACTCTGAACTCCAAGGAAGTGCAACAACATCAAGAACCCTGATTTCCCTGTTTACTCTGGCTCAGCTATATCTGGCAGGACGTGACTAAATTGGGAAACACAAATGAAAGGCTGTTCACTCAGCGCTTGGGAAGGCTGCCATCAGGCATGGGACACGGTGACACTGCTGCCAGTGCCCAGGGAGCAGTGCTAGGAGCCCCCCTTGCGGTCAGAGCAGCTACCCAAAACCCCCATCCTTCGTCCCCGATGGGCCAGGAGCAGATGTGACCCTGCTTGGCCTGCTGCCCTTGCTTTCCTGCTCTCCTCAAGGCAGGTCAGCATGCTGCAAGGACGGTGCTCTCAGCCAGTCCCACAGGTCCCGCTCCAGCAGCTCCCAACTGAGGAGGAAAAACACACCCAGGCTACCAGCAGCCTGCAAAAATACCATGGGCACAACCAGGGCAGCTCTGTACCCCAAGAGATGGCCAAAGCAGGCACTGCTGCCACATTACTCCACTCCAAGGCGTGAACGGCACGGCTACCCTGCAGCCCTGGCGAGGCACAAACCGCCTGCTCAGCCCCACAGAGCTCGGGGCTGAGGGGTGCCGGAGTGGGGCTGAGATGGGCAGCACCCCACTGGGGTCGCTGCTTAGGGAGGAAGAGGCAGCAAGGGTCCCTCCGGCCCCGGCACCAATGCCACGTGCTGGGCAAGCTGCCTGGGACATGCCAACCTCCACGGCACGGCACAGCACAAGCCTCCACGGGCACCCGGCCAGGCAGCGAGCGCTGCCCCAGCCCTGCCTGCATTGCAGGTGTGCCCAGAGAGGTGCCTGTGGGGCACAGACACCTCCATCTGCAGCTGTTGGGTCAAGCGAAGCCAAGGCCTCCGCAAGCACAGGAAGGAAGACCCATCCCTCCCTGACCTGCTTGGCTTCACTTTATTCCACTCCTGTTTTTCTAGCTCATGTTCCCTGCCTCCAAGCAGCCTCCTGCAAGGTGGCAGGAAATCTAATCAGGTCACAATTCTGCGGAGGAGCACCATTACCCATTGCTGATTGTGGAGGAGCACCATTACCTGTTGCTGATCGCAGAGGAGCGTGCAGACCCCCCCAGGAGCTGAGTAAAGCCCTAACAGGCATAGGGTCTCCCCAGGATGTCTGTATTTACTAACATTTCTCCCCAGAGGTCTGAAGTGGTGTGTTGCAGACACACAGCTTCAAAGTGTAATACCAGGGCAGCTGGGGGTCATCTTCCTCCTGCTTTTCTCTCCAATTTCTTCCTTAAGAGCCAGGGGAAGGAGAGCCGGCCCGGGCAGTGGGCACAGCAGAGCTGCCACGGCACAGAACGCTTCCAGGTGGAGGAAAGCACCCGAAGTGCAGCACACTGCAGAGCCTTCCTTCTCCTTCAGTGACCTACAAAGCTACAAATTGGGCCGTGCTCTTTTTAGCTTCACTGGGGATGTAAAGAAAAGGAGGACTTCTTATTCTTCTGGAAGTAGCCAACCAACCCACCCTGAGCACCCAGGAGCCTCAGACCTTCCTGTCCCCATGCCTGCAGGGCTCCTGGATGAGCCCAGGTCAACCGGAGCATCCCCACATCCTTACGTGGGGAGCTTTCCTTGCCCTCGCAGGCCAGCTGAGCCCATGACTTTTCTAATGTAACAGATCTCCCATTACCACTCAGATGCTGCCTTCCCATAATGCAACATCTTTCAACACTCCCCAGCCTTACTCTCCCCGTCATCAAAGCAGCTGGCGAGAAAACTCAGGAGACAAGGAGACCAAGAGGCAATCCCACCCACGTGCTCCACCAGCCGCTCTAGAAACACCCATCAGATGAAGCAACAGCCCCAGACTGAGCCAGCAATTAATCCTGCCACCTTCACCAGCAGGAAAAGGCAGCCACAAGGGTGATGGCCAGTGGATCTCAAAGCCATGCGTGCACTGGAATGAAGGAAGCTGCAGGGGCTGCAGAGCTGTTCTGCTCTTACTTGGCAGACTCAGTCACTCTTAATGCAATATTCTGCTTATTAAGAGAGATCTGTAAAGAGCGAGATGTTGGCAGCATGCCCTTCCCAGGAGGAAAAGAAAGCCTGTTGCTTTTAAGCCTCTTAGAAGCTGTTTCTCCTGTACTTTCTTTTATCTTAATGTGAGAAGCACCAAACCCGCCCCAGCCCATTTCTGCCGGAGAGGTCCATGGGGAGGTGGAGGGCATATGGCTTCCCCTCCATGCTGGGTCAGCGCTGGATGGGAGCTACCCCAGAACATCACTCACCACCCTGGCATGGACGACCCTGCCGTACTCCCTCTCAAAAGCAACGCAGCCAAAGCACAGCAACCCAGATGCTCCCCCTCGTATGCTCATGGCAGCACAGAGAGGCAACCTTGCTCTCAGGAGCTACCTCGCAGCACCCCTGCAAAGAGGCAGAGTTTCCTTGAGCAGCACCCACCCGCCACAAGAGAGAGGGGAGCCTGGAGCGTGCCCTGCCAAGAGAGCCATTCTGGGCCGAAGCAGGTTGATGGTATCTGCGCACAGGGAGGTGAGCTGGGAAGACCCAGCTGCTAAACAAAACCACAGCAGTATTTTGCATCAAAACATGATCCCCAGAAACACATAGCAAGGACTCTTGATGCTGGTCATTTCTGGTTTTACCCACTAGCTTTCAGTAAAGCTGACTTACCTTGTTCCCTCTGTCTTGCAAAAGAGAAACAAGACTTCTCCTGCCCACAGCACCACCACAGAGAGACAGACTTGGAGTCCGGTGTGAGCTCACAGCAGAGCCTGGTGCGCCCTTCTCAGGGAGGATGCCCCTGGCAGGCTGCACTTTGCCCCAGAATCTCCAGCCATCCATGCCAGCATGACAAGCCATTCTGCCAGCACACTACAAAGCTGTCCCATGTTAACCATGCTGGTTTATTAAAGCTGAACCACCAGTGCCTTTCTGTGTCATGAGAACAGCTTACACAAAACTAGCTGTTCTCACATGGGAAGAAACTTTCCCAAAGACTGCAGAAATGGCATCCACGCTAGAGCTTACTGGAATAACCAGCTGAACACCTGGGGGAAAAATAAAAGCTTTACAAATAATTTCGGCCAAGTTTACCGGGCTTAAGTTCAAGATGGAGTCACCAATGTCTAGTGCAGGTCCTTTGGGAGCAAGGACCCATCGCAAGATCCTAAGACTCAAAAGGAATTGGTTACCAGTAAAAGGATGAACAGAGGAGACACTACTTCCAGCTAAAAATGCAGATTAGTTGTTCTCAACTGGAAGAACAGCTTTTACTGGCTCCTCTACTTTAAACTAGCTACAGAAGATGAACCCACCATGTCCTCATTGCAAACACTGTTCCTGTTAAACACAGGAGATAAGCAAAGGGCCCCCATGGGCTGGCAGTGTGACAAATGAAGTAGAACAAGGATCAAAGGACAGAGGGGACCCGCTAGATCAGCCCATCCCTCTTTCCCTCTCTGGGAACAATACCCCAACACATCCCTTCACATGCCAGTGGTGTGTTGGCCATCCTGCTCCTGCTATTCCCTTGGGAAGCCTGTTCCAGGCCTCCACTGCTCCGACAGCCTTACAGTTTCTACTTTATTTGTAGCCAGTCTTGAGCCTGAACAGCTTTCCTCCACTCCCCGCTTGCTGCAAACAGCCATCATACCCTGACTCAGACTTCATTTTGCTAGGCTGAACACACCAAGCTCTGGCGGGGTATTTCTGCACTGTGTTTTCAGTGCAAGCCCGTTATCTCCCTCAAGTCTAGATTGCCACCCTGAAGCCGTGCTCGGCTGTGGCAACGGCAACCATCACCCATGCTGGCACGCTCTCCGGCGCATGCTGCTGCAATATGGATGGGACAGCAAGCTGTGGCTGGTCTCGCTGCTCCAGCAAGCTTCACCTGCCCTGTGGCACTGCTGCAGGACTGCACAGGCACAGCTGGCCAGCCCTTGTCCTCCCCTACTGTCTCAAGGCTTGTGGCCTTTATGGGTAGCTTGGATTCAGTGTGGACACAAGGGACTAAACCACAGCTGCATGGGAGCCTACGTGCAGGCTAGGCTGGAGATTTGCTAAAGAAAACAAAATGAAAAGATCCAGATTCCCACCGCTTCTATTAGCCCTGCTCGGGGACAGCAACATGACAGACACAACGAGGACAGCGCGACTCCATCACAGCCCCAAAGGCAGAAAGGGCTTGGCAAGCCCTGGCTATGGCTTTGATCCGTGCATCCTTCCCTACGGCTGGCTTTGTGCTTCCTCGTCAAGCCAGGGTCTCATTCCAGGCAGCTTCTAGGTGAGGAGTGGAACAAACATGTGGCAACAGGTCTCTAGATCCCCCACAGATCAGGGCATAACTCCCAGCCCTGAAAGATTTCCCTACAGCAGTGAGCACAGCCAAAGAGCTGGTGGGGCAGCACGCAGCCCTGCGTGCAGCAGCACAAGGCTTTCTAATCTGCATCCTTCCTGTGCTCAGCAACCCCGGCTCTAGTTAATTAGGGATTGATATCCCCCAAAAGCCCGCAGTTCCCATTACTGACACATCCAAAACTGGTGACCACAAAGCTCTCCCAGCTGCTTACAGCAGTGATGAGAGGAGCTGACGTGTTAGGGTCCAGTGTTGCCCGCTGGCTGTATTTCCCTCTGCTACATCACACAGGATCACTGCAGAAAGAGTGTGGGATTCAAACATGGCAAGAGGAAAGGTCTGCCCACCCGACCTGCTCTCCAAACAGGTCTGGTGAGCACCACTTGTCAAAAGCAACTGAACCATGGCATGCAGCGGGACCAGGGAACACTGCACCACCAGAACAG